GGGGCGAGGGGGCAATCGCCCCGCCCCCCCTTCACGGAAAATTGACGAATATTCTGAAATTTTGACCTAAAAGAGGGAAAAAAAATTTTTCGAGTGCATATGGGGGGTTTGTCGGAAATTTGAAGGTTTTGTCGGAAATTAGGAGTTTTTGACCCCCCCCCCCGGAAAAAGTGAATTTCAGCCACTGCTTAAACCTGCAGAAAGCATAGGGTCCTGAATAAATTCCGAACTGGCTCTTGAGCAACTATTGGAACACGACATACACGACCAGTGCAGCATGACAAACATGAAAAATTTTAGTATCTCTGTTGGTTCTATAGCAATTCTTCAATTGGCGTTTTTGAGGAAAGCCCTGAACTTAACTTTAAATAAAATATTCCAACTTATACCGGAGCTATTTTATTTTCGAACCACATAAACAATCTACGTAAGGATTGTAACATGTACTACATAATACTAACATCGTTAACACATCTTTCCATCCCTAGAGTTGCAAAGACCTTTCCCGATATGACTAAATTAAGTAATCGTTGAAAATATAGGGAGGTAATCTCGCCTAATCGAGATGAACTTTTAAGAACCCTTTCTCATTGTGCTCCAGGAATGGGGGCTGCATTTGTATGAGCCCAACTTCTACCAACAACCAATTTGTAAGAATAAAACACAATGATATATATACAGTATAGATTTTCGGAAGGACAAATCACAGACACTTTTCACTTTTCCTTAAAAGCGAGAGCCAATTAAAAAAGTAGGCTCATTTTAAATTCTTGCTTATTTAGCGATACGGTTAGTGCTGACTACATTTATGATTAGTCAAAGTGTATTATTACTAATTAACCATGCAATAACCCCAACACGGGGATTTTTATCGATGCAGGTGAAAGAATATTAAATCACACGCTAAAATAAAAGCTTGCATTGATTTAAAAATAATATTTGACCGAGTATTTTTTATAGGGCCAAAACAGCATTATTGAGTGCAATACTTTATTTTAACGTTATCATCAGACAGAATGATAGATAGCACTTAACAAGGAGAGAAGACACGTCAGCGGCAGCAAAGGTTTACCGAAGACCGGCCGATTTACAGTAGCCTATATAATTTAAGTACGTTCTTTTACAGTTTTTAAATATATACATGTACAGTACAGTAGTACATTTAGACTTAGACAACAAGGGAACCGCGAGACAGAGGAACAGAGAAATTCTGTTATAATTACAGTAGTCCGAAAGTTGGCAGTTTTGCAATTAGTTGAAGTTTCTTGCTTGCCTATATCTCCTATTTTAATCAACTTGTGGTTTGTTTGTTATCTGCATGGATGATAGTTGATGATGACGAGGAAGGTATAGTTGATGATGACATAAAACCAATTTTCCAATTTTCCAAGGTCACTTCATTGCTAATAACACATTAATTTTACCGTGTCGTCATAGAGTGCAAAATTATGACACGCTTGGAAAAACAACTTTGTATTTTAGAGAACGCAAGATTTTATCATTTTTATCACCGCGGTATTCGAGATTGGATAATCTAAGATGCAGGCATATTTCCTTAAAATGGCGGGCATGGTTTCTGCTGTTGTAAATTTATTTTAACAAAAGAGTTGTTTTAACAGTATGTTTCGTTACAAAGATATATCCTAAATATCTTGAAAGCAGTCCCCGGTGCTGTGACTTTAAAACAGGGTTGAATAGCTGGAGACGGAGTGAAAAAAGGGGAGCATTGAATGTACGTGCATTTATCTGATATTATTAAAGAAAATACAAATTCTATATACCTTTCCGTCAGCACTCAACCATTGCACCGATAAAAGGAGAACAAGAAACAACGCGCTGAGTCTTTCTGATGTTACAGAAATCGACATAATTAATGTGCCAGGTTTCTTTCAACGTTAAGTTTGTCCAGTGTTATCTGTCGCTAAATGGAAATAATTTGACAATTCCTGCCGATTTATCGTTGGCTTCACGATCACAAGATTGGACCTGAAAAGTTCCGTTTCAGCAGATAAGTAACCACTCAATATGTTTCTTGGCATTCCATTAATTTCATTTCATATATAGTCAACGTAAATAGGCATTGATGTTGACATGTACTAAAATTGGCGTAAATTGCCTCCAAAAGGTTTTTAGGACAATTCACCGTGTAATTTATTTAGTTTTACGATGTTCACAATTTTAATACCCAAAATCACTCAAAAATCTCTTGCTATGCAGAAGCATGCGAACCCGCACGCTCGCTCAAGTGTGCCAAAAACATGTGTTTATTCAGCGAAAGTATATATACGCACACACGTTCTTCCCACCTCTAAGGAATGCTATCTACTCTTTCTATTACTGTTTATCTCCAACAAAATTTACATTTACATCATGGTTTGGGATAACGCAACGTTTTCCTGGATTGTATTTTTGAATCAAGCCTCGTGTTCTCTTATGCTTGAATTTAGATTGCAAATAGTATTTTCCCCGTTTGGAATGCTATGCAAATTTCTTTGCATGATCGGAAACTGAAATAAAATATAATATAAATATAGTACAAGCTGCTCACAAATCTTGCATGCACTGCAAAAAATCCTTGCGTAAAATCAACTCAAATATTTGAGTAAAAAAATGCATTCACAGTGACACACAAAGTTTGAGTAAAAATAACTCAAATTTCTGAGTAAAACAAAATGCATTCACAGTGACACCTAAAACGTGAGTAACGTGCGATTTTTACTCACTGTGAGTAAACTACCGGTTCTACGCAAAACAATGAGTAAAATTTTACTCAAATTTCTGAGTAAACCAAAATGCATTCACAGTGACATCTAAAACGTGAGTAAAATGCGATTTTTACTCACAGTGAGTAAACTGCAGGTTTTACGCAAAACAATGAGTAAAATTTTACTCAAGTTTCTGAGTAAACCAAAATCCATTCCCAGGGACACCTAAAACGTGAGTAAAGTGCGATATTTACTCACAGTGAGTAAAAGAAGTGCCTTACTCAAAACAACGAGTACAAAACTACTCAAATCTTTAAACATTCTCTTTTTTCTCAGCGAGCTGAGTACCTTTTTACTCATTGTTCCGAGTAAGGCCATGACTGAAAGAAATAATATAAAGTCAGATACTATATAGTCATCTCAACACAACTGTGTCAGTGAAAATAATGTATTCTACCAATATATAGAACAAATTAAAATTAGCATACACAATAGTAACAAACAAAGTGATTTTGACCTACAGTACATGCATGCATGGTTGTACGCACTCCGTTCAGAGTAAAGATGAAACATTCCAACCAAACTGATGCAAATACTGCAATGAGTTATAAACGATACCTACTGTATATACAATACAAGAGCAATTGCCCTCTCCTACTGAGTTCAGATTTTATTCAGTTCATATTACTTAGTATATGTCATTCCTAATTTCATTAATTGACCTCCTCTCGAAAAGAGAATGTGAGTTCATGCCATCAGTTCCACAATTCCACCCTTAACTCGAAAAAGTACCAGCAAGTCAGTGACAATAAAGATTTGAGAAATTGCATTCAACGGTTGCCAGACAACCATTACAAGAAATGGCAATTCTTTTGGGTCTTTGCTTGACACGAAGCTGTCTACATCTTAACTTTCCTAGATAAATAGAAGGAACATATAATTAGAAATTAATGTTGCAGAGTGAACTACATTTATTATATCCCTTAATTCAGCCCCCGGTTTGGGTGTGCTCTAACATAACACTTATACATGGTTATTATTTGAGTAAGGAAATGCCAAAACCACATATAGTATAATATACAATAAACAATATAGTATGATATAAAATAATAAATAAAATTAATACACACTGCCACTGAGATTTAGACCGAATAATATTCTTTCAAATTTCTAGGTTAATGTTTCATATGAGTTTTTATACCTAATAATTTCTAAACACTTAAATATTTTTATATTATTCATTTTTCGATATATGTCAATAACTGTAGTCCCCAATTAATCAGCCACCATGCAAATCAGCCACCAAAGAGTGGTGCCGGCGAAAGGTGGCTTTGTCACCAAACTTGCACAGCAACACCAGAGTGCAAAAGTATAGACAATAGTGTTGTTCAAAACAGGAGAATATAATTCCCTCAAATTGCAAGGTTAATGAATCATAAATTCCAAAAAACTTTCATTTTTTTAAAGTCATGCACATATATGTCTATATACAAGTCCCCAATATCAGGTGGCCAATGTTAATCAGCCACCAAAGAGGGGTGCTGGCGAATGGCGGCTTGTCGCCACACTTGCACAGCAACACCAGAGTGCAAAAGTATAGACATATATGTTGTTCAAAACTGGAGAATATAATTCTTTCAAATTCCAGGACTGTTAATTAATCATTTCCAAAAAACTTTAATTTTCTTAATGTAATGCACATATACAGTATGTCTATATACCATTCCCCAATACCAGGCGGCCAATTTGTTAATCAGCCACCAAAGAGGGATGCCGGCGAAAGGCGGCTTGTCGCCACACTTGCACAGCAACACCAGAGTGCAAAAGTATAGACATATATGTTGTTCAAAACTGGAGAATATATAATTCTTTCAAATTGCTAGGTTAATTAATAATTTCCAAAAAGCTTTCATTTTTTTAATGTCATGCACATTACCTATATACAAGTCCCCAATGTCAGGCGGCCAATTTGTTAATCAGCCACCAAAGAGGGGTGCCGGCGAAAGGCGGCTTGTCGCCACACTTGCACAGCAACACCAGAGTGCAAAAGTATAGACATATGTTGTTCAAAACTGAAGAATATATAATTCTTTCAAATTGCCAGGTTAATTAATAATTTCCAAAAAGCTTTCATTTTTTTAATGTCATGCACATATATGCCTATATACAAGTCCCCAATATCAGGTGGCCAATTTTAATCAGCCACCAAAGAGGGGTGCCGGCGAAAGGCGGCTTGTCGCCACACTTGCACAGCAACACCAGAGTGCAAAAGTATAGACATATATGTTGTTCAAAACTGGAGAATATATAATTCTTTCAAATTGCCAGGTTGATTAATAATTTCCAAAAAGCTTTCATTTTTTTAATGTCATGCACATAATATGCCTATATACAAGTCCCCAATATCAGGCGGCCAATTTGTTAATCAGCCACCAAAGAGGGGTGCCGGCGAAAGGCGGCTTATCGCCACACTTGCACAGCAACACCAGAGTGCAAAAGTATAGACATATATGTTGTTCAAAACTGGAGAATAGATAATTCTTTCAAATTGCCAGGTTAATTAATAATTTCCAAAAAGCTTTCATTTTTTTAATGTCATGCACATATATGCCTATATACAAGTCCCCAATATC